AAACTCCGCTCTGTCCTGTGCCAATTGCACTGTCTCTGACACTCCCATCCCAATTATCCCAGTCACTGAATCAATCCACCTCATAGAGGGCCTTCCTCTAGTTGGGAATAAACATAACTAGAGACACAAAAGGCCTTTAAACACTACTATGAAAAGCAGTAAGACTTAACTAAATGGAAAATGTCAATCTTAAAAAAAAGCAATCTACATGTATAATGCAATCCCAATACATATACCAAAACCATCCTTCAAAAAGATAGGAAAGACAATTGGCAGGTTTATTTGGAAAGGAAAGAGACCCCAAGTAAGCAAAGTTTTTCCAAAAAATAAAAATATAGTGAGAAGCATAGATGCCCTGATCTCAAAGCCTACTACACAGCCATGGTAAACAAAACAACATAGTGTTGGTACAATGACAAACATATAGACCAATGAAACAAAATTGAGAACCCAGAAATCAACCCACCTACCTAAGTAAATTGTCATTTGGCAAGGAATCAAAACTGACCAAATAGGAAAAAGACAACCTCTTCAACAAATGGCGCTGGTAAAACTGGACTTAAACCTACAGAAAATGGAAACAGGATCTACATCTTACATTATACACAAAAAAATCAACTCAAGGTGGTTCACCCCAAACTATAAGAATCATAAGAGACAAAATGGACAAAACTTAGAAGCCCTAGCCTATGGCATAAATAGGCATGTGAATATAGCCAGAAATACACAATCAGGAAAAGATAAAAATCAATGAATGGGACCTTCTAAAAATCAAGTTCCTGTGTACATCAAAATCCTTTTTCCAATAGGGTGAAAAGAAAGCCTACAGACTGGGAGAAAACACGTGGCAATGACATTTAAGACAAGAGTCTTTTAACAAAAGTTTAGAGAATACTACAGGGTCTCCACAAGAAAAGGACTGATAACACAATAACAAAATAGGCAAAAGACATGAAAAGACCTTCACAAAAGAAGACATTCAGATAACCAATAGACACATGAAGAAATTATCAAAATCACTAAGACAGATGCAAATCAAAACAACAATGATATACCTTCTCACCCCAGTTGCAGTAGCAAAGTTTAACATGACAGTAAGGCAAAAAACAAGGCTCCAGGAGTTGATGGCATACCAATTGATTTCTTTCAACAAACAGACGCTGCCCTGGATGTGTTCACTAAGTTGTGCCAAGAAATCTGGAGGCAGCCAGCTGGCCGACTGACTGGAAAAGATCGATATTTGTTCCCATTCCAAAGAAAGGTGACCCAACGGAGTGTGGAAATTATCGAACAATATCATTAATATCATATGCAAGCAAGACTCTGCTGAAAATTATCCAAAACCGTTTGGAGCAATATGTCAACAGAGAACTGCCAGATGTGCAGGCTGGATTTAGAAGTGGTCATGATACTAGGGATATTATAGCTAATGTTAGATTGTTCTTGGCAGAAAGCAGAGAATACCAAAAGAATGTCTATCTTTGCTTCATTGACTATGCAAAGGAATTTGACTGTGTGGATCACAACAAGCTGTGGCTGACTCTGAGAAGAATGAGAATCCCAGAACATTTGATAGTGCTAATGTGAAACCTAAACTTGGACCAAGAGGCAGTCATCAGAGCAGAGCAAGGAAACACTACACGGTTCAAAATCAAGAAGGTGGTTCATCAGGCATGTATTCTGTCTCCATACCTTTTCAATCTGCATGCAGAACAGATCATCCGAGATGCTGGGCTGTACAAGGAGGAATGTGGCATCAGGATTGGTGGGAGAGTCATCAACAACCTCTGTTATGCAGATGACACAACCCTGCTTGCTGAAACTGAGGACCTGAAGCGCTTGCTGCAGAAGGTCAAAAAGACTGCAGCCTCCTATATGGATTGAAGCTCAACATCAAGAAAACAAAGATTCTCACCATTGGGCCAATTGGCAGCATCAATATGGACGGTGAAGAGATTGAGATAGTTAACAGTTTTTGTATACTTGGCTCCACAATCAACACTCTTGGTAACAGCAGCCAGGAAATCAAGAGATGAAGTGCATTGGGAAAGTCAGCTATGAGGGACCTCTCAAGAGTACTGAAGAGCAATGATGTCAGGCTGGAGACTAAGGTGCACCTGATCTGGGCTATAGTCTTTGCAATTACGTGCTGTGCATCTGAGAGTTGGACAGTGACTAGGGATGATAGAAAGATAATTTATGCTTCTAAGCTGTCATGCTGGAGAAGAGTATTGAATATACCATGGACTGCTAGGAGAACAAACAAGTTTGTCCTGGAGAAGGTGAAGCTGGGCTGCTCCTTGGAGTCAAGGATTCTGAAGCTTCATCTGACATATATTGGGCATGTTGCAAGGAGAAAATGGTCCTTGGAGAGGGACATCATGTTTGGCTGAGTGGAGGGGCGGCGAAGGAGAGGAAGACCTTCAATGAGATGTATCGATTCTGTGACTGGAGTGGTGGGAATAAGTGCATTTAGGATAGCTAGGTTGGCACAGGATAGAACGGCATTTAGCTCTTGTAAATAGGGTCGCTTTGAGTTGCAAGCGACTCGATGGCACATAACAACAACAACAATAAGCAATAAATATTGGAGGGATATGGGGAGATTGGAAGCCTCATGCACTACTGGTGAGATTGTAAAATGATGAAACCTTTCTGGAAGGCAGTTCAATGTTTCCTAAAAAAAACTGAACATAGAATTCCCACATGACCCACCTATTGCACTCTTAGGAATATACCCTGAGGAAAATAGAACTGAGACACAAATGGAAATATGTACATCTATGTCCGTAGCAGTATTATTCACAATAGCAAGAAAATAGAAAATGCTGGAATGCCCATCAACAACTGAATGGATTGGGAAATTGTGGTATATTCACACAATGTAATACTATGCAGCACTCAGTAATGATTTTGTAAAATACTAAATGACATGGGAAATTCTAGAGAGCATTAGGGCAACAGAAATAACTCTCATAAGGACAAATACTTCATAAGAACATTATTGTACAAACAGAAGAATAGCTGAGCAGGATGTGTATAAATGTTCAAAAGGGGAAGGGGGAAGGAGAATGGGGAAGAGAAAGGGGAAGAATGGAAATCATTAGGATAGCAGAAATTAGTGGAGGTTGGTGAAGGCATAAGATTCAACAGGGACTTGAAAAAAGGAAGTAATAACATGCACAGACCAACAGTAATTAATTATAGAATATAAAATATTTATGAATATATTAAACATAATATAAAGATTATATAAAATACAATGTACAATGTGTGTGAATTATTATATGCAAACTAATAAAAATATTAGGAGTAAAAAAAAGGATTTACCAAAACCAACCAACCAATAAATACACAGAAAAGCCAAAAGAACACTGCTGTAGAGTTAATTCCAATTCAGTTTTTGAGGCTCAAAATCTTTACGGGAGAAGATTGCCCATCTATCATTTCCTGGATTCAAATCACTGACAGTAGCACAACATATAATGTACTAACCGCCAGAGTTCCTTCCTAAAGCTTTAAGCTTAGTGGCCTCAGAAAATGAATAAAAGGTTCATATGAGTTGGAATCAACTCCAAGACTGTGGGAGATATATGTGTGTTGGTATTGTTTGTGTGTGCATGTGTGTGTGTACACAACATATATACCAGGTTGCTCACAGGAGGCCAAGACTTTGAAACTCTGTTTCCTGTACTTTGGGAGTATTGCCAGAAGGGACCAATCCTTGGAGAAGGACATCATGCTTGGAAGAGTAGAGGGTCAGTGCAGGAGAGAAAGATTCTGGATGAGAAGGTTTGACACAGTGACTGTAGCAATGGGGTAGGTGTGTCAGCGATAAGGAGGTTGGCTCAGGACAGGGTACAGTTCATAGCTGTCACTGATATAGTCACTATGAGTCATAATCAACTGTATATAACCTATATATCAACACACCTATATCTGTATTTATATATATTCCTACAAATACACAGACTTTTGAAGAGCTCGGATGGCTTAGTGGTAAGGAGTCATGCTGCCAACCCAAAGGCAGGTGGTTCAAATCCACCAGTTGCTCTGAGGTAGAAAGCTGGGCAACCTCTTCCTGTGAAATCACAGTCTCTGAAAACCCACTGAAGGGTCAGCTATGAGTTGATTCTGACTGATGGTACATAAAAATAACTATCATTTTACTCATAGTTTATTGGATATGGGTTTGTTGTTGTTTTTTTTTTCAAACTTCTGTGACAGAAGCCACTAAAATATTTTCCCAATTTTACATGTTTTCTTTAATCCTCATTACTTCAAAAGATAGGATGCATTATGCAGAGTAAGGAAAGCTGAGAGTGAAACTCATGCTACTCATCCCATATGCTGATTTCTCTATTTTCAACTTTTCAGGACTTTTTGTCTGTGGCAGATATTATCGACTATTTCAGGAAAATGCCACTTCTGCTTATTGATGGGAAGAACCGAGGGTCCCGATACCAGTGCACGTTGACGTACGCTGCAGGGTGTCCATAGCAAGACAGCCAGAGAAACGGACCTTCCTTTTGCCTCTGCTGCCAACCCAGAAGACTTGTCACCAGAGGGAGTAGACAAAGTTTGGGACAGGATAGAGCCCTTCAACATGGAACACAAATGTTTTGTCCTTTCATTTTGTAAAAGGAAGACTGTCAAATACCTGTAATTTATTTATTTTTATTCAGTATTTGTTAAGTGAATGAGTCATGGAGTCAATGCTTTAAAGTCTAGAGTCATTTAAACAAAGAAGATATGCTTTTGAGATATCCATTTGAACGTACCACAGTTTACACAGCTACAGAAAAAAGTCTGGAGCAAATTTAAAACCATTCAATGGTAATAGCTTTTGGTATTACATGAATTTTTTTATTTTCAGTCAGAGACAATTACTAGTTTTGTACATATAATATGAAAACTACTAAAATTCACTTTCTCAGCAACAATAATTAAATATTCATTTTATTCCTTCTTATTTGTTGGTGTTTTCTCGGGACACTTTTGTGTATTTTTTTTTTTTTACAAAATGATAAATGCATGGTGGAATTAAAATGAATCTTTTTGCTTTACTTTTGTGTTCCTAAAAAATGTTATTGACTTTACTATACAGCCTATACTGTTATATATTTGTGTTTATTTTAAAGGAAATTTAAGCTGCAAATAGTATCAGGGAAACATTGTCAGTTTTAAGGTGAAGCACAGACTTTGGTGTCTAATATCCCTGCATTTAGTATAGAACTTCATTGAATTCTCATACCCACATATCATTCTCTCTACCAGTGACCCTCCAACTCCAAAAGCATTGCCAAGTATTGGAAACTTTACCCAAGGCTTCCTGTGCACATGAAGCCATGAATATATACACAAAAATGAAATCAGGCTTTCCTATTGGATACTTCTCTTTCTCCATCTCTTTTATTCCTCTGATAGCTGGCAAAGCCCATTTTCTTCATCCTTTCCAAAAGGGCTCTATAAATTCTCCCAGTCAATGTAGTTCTTCTTCAGTTTACATGTATGACTTAACAATAAAAAGAAAAGTAGTAGGCAAAAGACCTCAGTTTATAACAACAACAAAAAAACCCACAAAACAAACAATTGATAATTACTTGTTTAGTATCCTTTCTTCCAATTGGGGCCATGGTCATTATGATTTTTTTTTTAAATAATGACAAATTTTGGTTTAATTTCTAAGTTTTCTGATTGACAAATAACATCTTATCTCTTCATATTCATAATCCACTAGAAACATGATTAGAAGAAGTGTTAGAAGCCATTTAGTCCAAACTTATCAATTCCTAAGCTAATGATTGAGTAGAGACTTTTAATTAATGAAGATAAAAATGGTGTTTCAAAAAACCTTATCCTATAAAAGGGAAGTTCTTAATTTAGAGTCCAGAATTTGGCAGTTCTAAAGCTGAAAGACCATGATCAAATTACATTTTTATTTAACAAGCACTTGGTTCATGTCTATTTAGTATTAAACCTTGAGCTAAGTGCTAATGAGGAGCCCTGGTGACATAGCAAATTAAGCATTAAACTGCTAACTGAAAGGTCAAAATTTAACTCCATCAGCCAGAAATAGGATGCAGTCTTAAATATGAAAATCCTCTCTTATAGAGTCAGTTCATTACTCATAGAGACCCTCATCAGATTTCCAAAACTATTAATCTTAACAGGAGGAAACAGTCTTTCTCCTGAAAAGCAGCTGGTGGATCCAAGCTGTTAACTTTTTGGTTGGAAGAGCAACATTCTACACAAAATACCATTAGAATAATTTTCTATAAAGATTACAGTCTTGGAAACTCTATGGGACAATTCTATAATGCCACTAAGAGTCAGAAAGGAATAAATGGCAGTGAGTGTGGGGAAATGCTGCTAAGTTTAGCAGGTCAATAACTAAAATTTTGCTTTTGGATTGATCTGAATTTTCTCTTGACTCACTGTATTACATCTTTCATGTTAAAAAAAATACCTAAAACAAAGGGTAAAGCATATTTCAAAGCAACTATATTCTAGTGAGGCAAAGTGTATTTGTTCTTTAATGTTTTATTTGTTTCTTGATAAAAGAGGGTAAATTAGGAAGTTTTAGGATGAAGGCATTGGATTCCTCTGCTATGCTGGATTCAGTAGTGAAAACCTCATCTTTTCACGTGATTAGCATTATTTAACCTCTTTCTGGAGCACTACCTCCTTTGATGACGGACATTGTGTATCTTCGCCTAACACAACTGCCTATGACTTAGCTCCAGAGCAGACATCTTACTAAAACTAGGAGTTATCTGTCTCACCTCTCTTCTTCCCATCATGGGTGAAATTAGTTTACAAAAGAAGAGAACAAGGCAAACATACAAATTGAGACAAAGACATCTTATAAATTAGGGGAAACCTTGAACTCTACTTCAACCAAGGACTTCCAAGTCACAGGACCCAATAAATGCTTCAGCTAGCTTACATTGTTTTTGGCAACTGCAACCAGTAGAGTTCTGATTAATTTAAATGCATACCACCCATTAGTAATTTATTAAACAAATAGCATCCATTAGTAATTTCTCAAGTCTCTTTTAACCTGAACCGAATGCAAGTATAATATAAAGGATAAGTACTGTCCATGGAAGATTTCCTATTTTTTCTCTTGTCCATCAGTGAAGTAATTCTTTAAAACATTCAAACTCAAATTAAAATTTAAAAAGTACATACTTTTGCCCATTAGGGAAATAAGTCATTCTTTAAAATATAAAAGAAGAAAAAACCTTCAAGAATATAAAAATGATTATTTATAACTCTACATATCTTTATTTTGTTTTCAATTATAAGTATATTAATAAACTCAATGCTTCATAAACACTGTTAACAATTCACAACCAAAAAGAAATCAAACATAAAAACTATTAAAAGCAAGGGATACATCTGACAACTTGGGCTCTTCCAAGAGAGGGCTGTCTTTTTCTGTTTCAGTTAAATCCTCTGTCTTCATAGAATTATTAAAATGTAGTGTGAGGTCACATAGCAGTAACTGGGAGAGCTCTGTGTAAAACAAAACAATGGGAGATATGAATATCATTATAGGATATATGTGAGATAGAGAAATATTATTACCTTGACTATTCCATAATTCCTTATTTTCTTTCCAACTGGTATGGATCTAACCATAACTTAGATGTGTCTTAGTCTGACTTAAAATCAGATTTATATACTGTAGGATTAGCAAAACTTTATTAGAACGGTTCTTCAGACAAACTAGTCAGTCATCCTACTAAACTGCAAATTGATTTATGAAAATTTTACTTTACATTATCTAAGTTATACATGGGAGTTATGGTACCTTTGTGCTAAGAAGTTGCACTACCAACCTAAAGGTGGACACTTGGAAATCACTCAGTTGCTTAATGGGAGAGGGAGGGGCAATCTCCTTTCAAGTGATTATAGATTCTAAAAACTCACTGGGAAGTTAGCTATGAGTCAACTCCAACTCAACTCCAAACAAGGCAAGTTATATAAAATTAGATGTTTCTGCCTTTAAAGGGTCAATCACTTGCAATTTCCCCCCCATTATTTTAGTTTTATTGTTTTGGGGTTTACAATCATATCTTTAAACGATGTGCTCATTATATGCATCATTTTATCCTTTAAATTTTAAAAGATAGATTGTGAACTATTATATTATGAATATAGATTAAAATTTAGCTCAATAACAGTAAATATAAATATCAGTAAGATATTTTTGGCACAGTATTTGCTACTTCAATATTTACATTTTTGTTGTTGTTGTTGTTATGTGCCATCGAGTCGCTTGCAACTCATAGCGACCCTATGTACAAGAGCTCTAAATGCTGTTCTATCCTGTGCCAACCTAGCCATCTCAAACACACTTATTCCCACCGCTCCAGTCACAGAATCGATCCGTCTCACCAAAGGTCTTCCTCTCCTTCACTTCCCCTCCACTCTGCCAAATATGATGTTCCTTTCCAAGGACCAGTCCCTCCTTACAACATGCCCAAAATATGTCAGACAAAGCTTCAGAATCCTTGACTCCAGGGAATACTCTGGCTTCACCCTCTCCAGGACAAACCTGTCTGTTCTCCTAGCAGTCCATGGTATATTCAACACTCTTCTCCAGCACCACAGCTCAAAGGCATCAATCCTCTTTCTATCAACCCTATTCACTGTCCAACTCTCCGATGCATAGCACATAATTGCGAAGACTATAGCTGGGATCAGGCGCACGTTAGTCTCCAGCCTGACATCGTTGCTCTTCAGTACTCTTGAGAGGTCCCTCACAGCCGACTTTCCCAACTCAATTCATCTCCTGATTTCCTGGCTGCTGTTACCAAAAGTGTTGACTGTGGAGCCAAGTAAATTAAAACTGTTAACTATCTCAATCTCTTCACCATCCGTGCTGATGCTGCCAATGGGCCCAGTGGTTAGAATCTTTGTTTTCTTGACATTTAGCTTCAATCCATATAGGAGGCTGTAGTCCTTGATCTTCTGCAGCAAGCGCCTCAGGTCCTCCTCAGTATCAGTAAGCAGGGTTGTGTCATCTGCATAACCCAGGTTGTTGATGATTCTTCCACCAATCCTGATGCCACATTCCTCTTCGTATAGCCCAGCGTCTCAGATGAACTGTTCTGCATACAGATTGAAAAGGTATGGAGACAGAATACATCCCTGATGAACCAACCGCCTTCTTGATTTTGAACCATGTAGTGTCTCCTTGCTCTGTTCTGACAACTGCCTCTTGGTCCAAGTATAAGTTTTGCATTATTAGCACAATCAAATGTTCTGGGATTCCCACTCTTCTTAGAGTCAGTCAGAACTTGTTGTGATCCACACAGTCAAAAGCCTTTGCATAGTGAATGAAGCACAGATAGACATTCTTCTGGTATTCTCTGCTTTCTGCTAAGATCCATCTGACATTGCTACAATATCCCTAGTACCACGACCTCTTCTAAATCCAGCCTGCACATCTGGCAGTTCTCTGTTGACATATTGTTCCAAACGTTTTT